ACTCCTGCGCAACTCAACCTGGTGACGTAGAAAATACAATCAGAACACCCAGAGTTAGAATTCCCCATCCCAAGAGGCAAAACGGACTATCCAGCCTTATCAAAAATCAGTTCAATTCAGCTGGCGTACACACAAAGGAAGATGTTGGCCATTATCACACTGTCCCTCCTCAGTCGAGAAGTCTTCCAGTTACATAGAATAAGGCTCTGCAAAAGACCTCAACTCAACAGCAATAAAAACATTTCAGCCCCCATCACACCGACTAAGCCCTACATAATCATCATTGAAGATAGGCATCACTACGCCCTCCTGAAGCAAAGTACAGCGGACGAATGTGCCCTGCTAGGTAACCGACTTGTGTGTCTACCCAACTTCGCCATATCCAACTCAATGATTAAACCAGCATGTGAAATCATGCTGCTATCAAAATCCTCCGCTGAAATCCTCAAAACCTGCGACATCAAGATAACGAAGACACAAGGGACGGAGTGGACTAATCTAGGTACCTCACATAAATGGATTTTTACCACGAGTGAACATGAAAGCGCAGAACTATACTGTGCAGGAAGATCAGCCGGGAAAGTTCTGATTAATGGCACTGGGATCTTATAATTAGATCAGGACTGTCACCTACAAACTCCGGCAGACTCAATTTCACACCTGGGAAAAATACAACCAGCCGAGATCGAAGTACATCTATCACCAATCAACTTGGACCTAAACCACCAAGCTCCCAAAATTATGAAAGAACCTGAACATCTCGACCCTGTTTCAACCATCAACTTCGAAGCCCTACCGAAATTGAAAACCCACGCAGCTTACGAAGTCCGTCTGGACGAAGCTGAACAATGCCTGGAGGAGATTGGACTTCAGCACCAGGAGACATACCATCACAAACTGATCACCTTCGGTTCCCTAGGAGGCATAGGACTCCTGTCAATCCTGGGTCTTGGCTATGCCTTCTGTAGTCAGCAAACAGCAAAATCCGCGGTTGCATGGGCATTTCGATGCTGCTGCCAAACCAAATGGAGACCTAGAAAAAGAACTGAGCTCGAGTCCAAGATGCAAGCCCTAATTGAATTGGAAAACCTTACCCTGGCTATACCGAATTTTACCAGCATGTTAAATCGGCACACGAAGACACAATCAGCACCAAATCTGAACGAATTCCAGTCCCCAAAAGTTCCAGTGTGCACAGTTGTCAATCGTGCCCCATCAGTGGACACGATGCTGGCGACAACGTCATCAAGGAGGCAGCCAACTCCGCTTGAATTTTAATTCAAGAATACTGGACCTAAATCCGGGAGGTAAATTAATAATTTCACCGCGAAAATTTGAATATAATAATATTACGAATGCCAATACATCTTTTCATTCGATCTTGCATACCGTTAGCATTATGATCATGATCAACTTCATCAAATCAAAAATCGAACCAAATTTCAAATCATCGACAGTATTTTGAAAAAAAAAACGAAAAACAATGAACATTGGCAGCGCCGTATAATTATTATACTAACCTCAAAATATTAGGCAATCTTAGTTAGTGAAGTAAGTCATAGGGTCAATAATGTTGTTTGATTTCTCACTGGGGAAAATAATAAGATCCTAGTACATAAGGACAATAACTAGACGGATCCAAGGTGGAGCTGGTCTACCACAATGACGCCTGACTAAGGGGCATCTTACGATAATAATAACAACGATAGCGAAGGCACGTCTTAAAGCAGTCTAGCAAATAGAAATGAATGGTAATACAAATAATCAATAAATATAAATTGGGTCGGAGAATAAACTACACAATTTCCGACATTTGTTTTCATATTTATGCCTAAGCGATGAGCAAACTTCCAAACTTACCAAGAATACTGACAATATATCAAAATGTCCATTAATTATACCATCAATATCACCACTTTAACAAACAAAACGAGCAGTCTTCCAGGAAGGGAATAACCAAGAATTTAGATTAACAAAATAATCGATAACACGCCGCTGGCATCTCTCACGTTGCACTCCCATCAATGGGCAGTTACGCATGAGTCGTGACGGTCATAACAGCAAACAAGTCGTACGTGAGGTTGGCAACCCCTCAGTCGGTAAGTGGACTGAGGCATAGACATTCGCGCTCCCACAAATTTTACGCAAAAAAAGGCGGGAGGACAGTACTCCATAAAATCCTTTTCAAATCCCGACTGGTGATTTATTCAATGAAATTGCTGCTATGTACAAGACAAAATGAATGTTTATTCGGACGTCGCCGCTAATAGGGTCCAGATGAGCTTCCTGGAGCATTTCTCGCGCAATTACGGTGAGCGTCGAATTACATTGTGAGTGCACGCGTGATTCTCGTAGTAAATTCACTCCGGCGTCCATTTTGGGGCCGATTGAGGCTTAATTCGAGTCTGCTTGTGACGCGGCACTCAGTAGCCTTCCGCTACTTAATTATTGGATTAGTCTTATAATTTTGATTCTTTGTTGTTCGTTATTATTACGGACATTTTCTGTGTGGGGAAAATTGGTCATTACTCATTTATTGTGTTAATCTTCCCCAATAAATTTTCGTGTCGTGGCTCTCGCGTCGTCGTCGCGTATGGGTGATCCTCGCGTCCTAGCGTCTAACCCGCACCTTCAAAACTATTATTATTTCTTTCGTTAGGTATTATCAATAATTGAATTATATACTGTTTTTTTTTGTTAAGCCCACTTAAGATCAAGTATTGAACCTTGTTTGTTCAATTATTCACTGAAGCAAGATTGCTTCCTTTCGAGTTAATTTGGTTTGTGTAGCGTCTTTGCTCGCGAGAGTCCTCTCCCGCACTTGTACAAAAAATTCTACGTTGACTATCATATGGACGAGTAAAACGTCCCTCCCGTAACTCATGGATTGAAATACATTTTTTTTTATTTTACAAAATTTACATAGTGTTGAGTTACGCTCATTGTAGTCTGTTCCCACACACCTCCGCGGATATCTGAGCTAGTCGTGGAACGCGTCTCGACGATATGACCTTGTCCTTTGGCGGTTAAAAGGACTGGCGCTCTTTTTGGTATTTTGTCTCCTCTCGTTTATCCTCGCCGTTCTAATTTCGGGTCGAGAGAGTCCACAGGGTCGCTGAAAGTTCGTGGAGAACCACGCGCCTGAATCCCGCAGACGCGCTTGGAAAAATACCACACAATATATATATAAGAAGAATTAGTTGAAACATTTCGATTCGAAAATAATGGAAAAAAAATTATATTTCGAAAACGTACCACTCGAGTGTTTACGTCTTTCAGAACTACACAATCACAATACACAATTCTCGGAACAATTCTCGGAACTGTTTACATCATCTACAAATATTGCGTGATTGTTCCAAATGAAAATATCCCAATAGAATAAGTAGTATAGAAAAAAACTAGGAAAATTTAAAACTGAGTAATTTCTAACGAATTCTATTAATTTTTCTATAGGCTATTTGCAATCAAATCGGTTCAAAACTTAGAGAAAGTTCAATATCTCACCGAGAAATGGGATGGGTGGAACCTTCCTTATTATAGAAACCAATTCTCCCATTCTAATGACTGGGTGCGAAAAAGGGGAGTGGAGCGAGTAGCAAATGCACGCAACATTCATATATTGGCTATTGACTTGACCTTGATTTGACCTTGACTTGACCTTGACTTGACCTTGACTTGACCCTGACTTGACCCCGACTTGACCTTGACTTGACCTTGACTTGACCTTGACTTGACCTTGACTTGACCTTGACTTGACCTTGACTTTATTTTCGTTTGCAGTATGGATCGCACTACTTTTGAGTATCTACTTTTTTTAATGAGACCAGATTTGGAAGGAGAATTACGTGAATTTGGAGGAGTAACTATTAATCCTGAGAGGGAATTGTATATTGCTTTGGACGTACTAGGAACTCCTGATTCTTACAGGTTCATTCATGCAAGAAAAATTAATCCGTTTTAGAAACAATTATTATTTGATTTTCTAACATTTTGTTTGTTCTGAATTTAGATCAGTAGCAACAAAATTTGACGTGGGCAAGGCTACTGCTTGGCGTGCTGTTAAAAGAGTCGTCAAGGCTCTTTGCAAAATGAGAAATTATTTGATTCGATGGCCATCTCATGAAGAGGCCTTGAAAACCTCCTTGCGGATCGAGCGTAAATATAAATTTCCTGGAGTTATTGGGGCAGTTGATGGTACCCACATAAACATTGCAGCTCCGAAAACAGATCCTTGACTCAGCGTAAAGTGGAAGTTCTTTCAGTCACCTGAAGAGGCGAAAGAAGTCATCCAGGGAGCATATCTTCCTGCTCTTGTCGTGAAAGCGAGTGGTTTGATAGCAGGAGAAGGCGAGGTCTTTGCTAAAGATAAAATGCGAACGTATGAGGCTGTTGGAGAAATTCTCCAGGATAAGAGATTCGGTGCAGCTGGGGGGACAGTTGTGGTTGAGGAGCTATTATCGGACAGGAAACAGTCTCATTACTTCCAGGAGACTCTGTAAAGACCTTTTAGGTGCATAAAATACCCAGTCAATGGTAGATGGCATCAGAAACACGACAATTACCGCAATTTTATAAAATGGGATCTAGAAATCTATAAAAATAATATTAATTCTTTTTCTATTGTACTGTTTCTCATAATGAATGTTTACGATTTACTTTAAAATATATCTAAAATAAAAAATGAAGCAAGCATAATAACCCTCAGTCCAATAAATTTATTTTTCATGACGGAAAAAAATAAACCATAATTTGATCTATATTTACTCTCTTTATTTTTATATCATATACAGTCCCTCCCTGCCAACATCAATTTTCAAGTAATAAAATTCAAGATCGCAATTCCTTTATAGATCATGATCAAACATCCATTGTATTTATAATATTTCCAACCATGCCTCAAATTTTTTTTCATAAATTTTTTTAAATCTTTAGAAATTAGTGAAAAATATTGAATTCAATGTTTTTATGAATTCAATTCATAAATTGCTAACTTATGATTAAATGAGATTGAAGGCCATGTTCGATTGTTGGGAAATATTAATCACTGCCTCTCTCCAGACGAGTTCCACTTGAAATGAATCGGGAGACTTTTCACGATGTATCTCCATGATGTTATTGAAAGCTGTCGTTGATCGTGCAATTGGAAAGAAGGATTCAGTGTGAAAATTGTGAGCTTCTCTGAAATCAGGATCTGGGTCAGGATTTCCTGACATGAGCAGCAGTTCTGCTTCATAATTTAAATTAATATCTTTTGGGACATTACTGGAGCAATCAAGTTGCGTGTAAATGGGCTCAGGAAGCTCTGCCATACTCGGTGGTAGATCAACGTATTTGCTACCAACCAAAATGTCAACTTTGTAGGTTGAACGATCACCAGGAAAATTCTCGTATCGTGGTTCGTGTGTTTCCAAATACTTGAAACAGTCCTCGAGTAGTAAATCTTTCAGGGGCCAGCATCTGGGATGTCTAAACGAGAGATGAGCGACAGTGGATGTGATTCCAGAACGTATTAGCAATTGGCAGTGGCATGACGAAGGTGCATCGATTGTCAATTTCACTTCGAGATGACAATACTTATTAATTAGAATACTTTTCCGTTCCCCCAGCCAATCATCATCATCATCATCGATGTTATAAGGCGGTGTCGACGCCATTCCCAGTATTAACCTAGAATGATTTTTCAATAAATGAATGTTCTCCACAGCCCCTTGAAAAATGTATTGAATCAACGTACAATGCCTTCGTTCACTGTTAACTATTTGTGAGTGACGAGTTACTTAAATTGGTATATAAGCTACTTTCTTTGATGAGTATTCGATAGCTAAACAAATAGTGCAGTTGGACTGAGAAGATTTCACCCGTCGTGTTCTGCACGAGGTCTCGTTCCTCTGCCACCACCACACCTCCTCCGCAACCGGCGAGAATTTCTACGTCACAAGGAACAGTCATAACAAGTAAGTCATGTGATTTGCGGTCTTCTGAGTAAACTTTCTTTGGTTCGTGCATATATTATTTTATCTACCTTTCGATAATTTTCAGTTTTGTCTTCAAGAGAACTTCATCTATATTATTTAAGATTGCACAAAGATGGTGAGTCGTATGAAATTTCGGATGTTTTTTTAATTGAGCTTCTTTGGTGTGGTGTTCCGTCAATTTTTGAATAAATAGAAAGTGCTTCGCGAAAAGAGGTTATTGCAAGATCCAAATCAAATTTTCAGAATCAACCGAATGATCTTGATCATGGGACGACGGACTTGTTCTCCATCAACAACCTGCCTGACGTCTGCCTTCAGGCAATTTTTTCATACATCCCCATTTCTGGCAGAGCATTTATTGGGCAAGGTTTGTTTTGTGTATTTTGCGAAGCCACTTCCATGACCACTCAACAGCATAGTTCCTTGGCTGGAGTGGATATAAAAGTTTCCAACACTTAATTTTTTTTTTGGAAATTTATTTTTCAGTTTGTAAAAGATGGAATGTTGCCAATAGATTTTGGTTTGGTGTTACTCACATGATGATAATAGAACCCTGTCAAGATCTTGCTCGTCGTTGTACAGAATTTGTAGTGACAAACCATATGATTCAACTCGTTCCCAGAAGGGAAGCAGTGGTCGAGGGGGCTGTGAAACGATTTGGGAGGTGCTTGCAATCGTTGGTCGACTCTCGGATGCAACAACATTCAGCGGTTTCATATGCGGCTCGTGAGTGCAATCAATTGGTGGAGCTAGAGTTGAGCGTTTACTCAGCGACTCATGATATAGAACTGTGTGTGCTGTTGCTGGAGAATCCACAACTGCAGCGTTTGTCATTAAGATTTACCTGCAATGAGTATTGTACAAGTTTGAGAGCAATAAACCCCAAAGAAATCAAGCAATTGACCCTAAGAACCTGGCAAGGGACCAGACAACTCCGGAGAAGTCTGAATGAGTTAATCGAGAAGTTGGAGAAACTTCAGTCATTTTCCTGTGATTTTCTCGATGACGAGGGTCTCCACTTGGTCACCACCAGGATCACTTTGGAGTCATTGAGTGTGTACTACTCAGGGCCTCAGTTGACGGAGATCAACCTCCATCAGATCGGGAACCTCAGCTTTTTGAAGCAGATTCAAATTGACTTCAGGAACTATGCTCATACACAGAATAACTTCAGAATCAGTCAGGAGATACTCGTGAGCCTAGTGGATCGGTGCTGCTTCCTGAAGAGTATTACTTTCATTGGTAAGGGGAAACAGCTGTACATTCCTTGACATTCCGAAAAATTAATACAGAGTGTTTTCCAAAAATTTAAGGATCTTCAATTTTTTCAGGGTGCTGTTCAGTGACGGATGCGATGTTTCCAATATTTAATCGATTAACTAATTTGAAGATATTAAGATTGATCAGATGCTTCAACCTGAAAGGACAGTTGGCGTAATCATGCGAGAATCTCCCAGTTTTATCACTGGCGATGTGCGTGAACCTCGATCAGTATGGTTTGATAAGACTTTTGCAATCATCAGTGGCAATTCAAGAACTGACTCTATACGCCACTAGAATTCCCAGCCAATTCTTGATGGCAGCCAACGAAGCTGTCACTTTCCACTTTCCAGAAGACGACAACCTGTCATCCTCTGTGTCGATAAACATCTGACTCCCTTGGGTGGCATTCCAGCTAAATCTCCAATGTTGATGATTGAAGAACGCGATTCCAACATTCTATGGATATGAATTTGCTATTCTCCTCTCAATCAATCAATGTTCTTGGAATTTTCCTTGAACGGAAAACGAATAAAAATTAGCATGGACTGAAAGAAATACGAAAATTACAGTTTTATCCTCGCTATTTTTTTTGTGATGGAATGTTTCAGAATCAGAATTTATAGCTCAATATTGTAACTGGAAATAGATGTTCTCATAAAAACTTGAGATTTAAATTTCATGTTTTTGAAATTTTGAAGTATCGATTGGTAAGAACGAAATGTTTGGGATGAAATTAATACTTGAAACCATATTCAACGATTTGTAATAAGCCTTCAGGAAAATTTCATTATGAATAAAAATATTTTGTAGTACATAAAATGCTTTCATAACTCGTTTAATTATTAAATTTTTAACACATAAGAGCTTAAGAAGAACAATTAGGAATATTTGAAACTTTTCGTAGAAAAAGTAAAGAACATCACATTGAAAATGTATCCAATAATAGGATTGAGTCAATATTGAATACTCTTTGGTGATAAATTATTCCAACGAACGATTACGACGTGCCATGAAGTCTAAGTATGGCATTTATTTTAAATTAAATTTTTCCTCCTTTCGTTTTAACGGAAGACTTTAGCGTTGAAAACTTCAACAGATCATATCGAAAAGGTTTATAGCATCCATATGCCTCCTTACATATTTGAATAAATTATTGTCCTTATACTGTGAACTAGAAAACTTAGACATAAGATAACAAACATAAATCAGTCACAGTTATGTTCCACAGCTTGAGCATCGATTCCCAACGTTTATAATATTGGAACCGTGTGATGGCGATCATTAATTGTTTCCCTTAAATTTATCTGCCATCTCCGTCAACAATTTCAGCTTCTGTTGTCGGTAATCAGCTGTTGCTTGCAATCGTAAACGTTGATGCTCGAGAGATTGAGGCATATACTCTGTGCGATCGACTGTGGACGTTCTTCGTCGCTCTGTGAAATCAACATGTCATAACGATTTAAATATTGCTGAATAATGATGAAAAGTGCATGTTCTTCAGGAAAAACGACCGTGAATTTTAGGACTCATCAGCTATTGATGCCAAATTGTTGATAGGTTCAAAATGTATTAATCATTTTAATTGATCTGTTTTCACGAACCGAGGTGTAGGATCGATAGGTAGGATTTTCAATTGCATGATCGAAGAAAATCGAATGAAAAGTATTTATTCGAAGAGAAATGATGGGAGAAGCTGTAATGACGTTCAAGGGACCTCGGAAGATTATTTTCTTGACCGCGTAGGTTTTCCTGTTTTCAATATAAAAGAAAGATGAACAACCAACTTCTTGGCACTGCTTTTTCTTTTCTATGAATGACTCATATCTATTCTACATACAAACAAGTTTACTCCAGCAATTTGCGGCTTAGAAGTTTCACCATGCCCCCCCCCCTTTATTACATAAACTCGGAATTGAAATCTCAAATTAACTCATGGCAATGAAAAGTCTACAGCAATACAAAAACGAAAGATTCCATTACTTGAGTGGCATTGACTCTCGCAATTTACTCAAAATTATTAAAAACGAGATCTACCGCTCAAATTATATTATGTCAAATGAAATTAGACACATCAATATAGATAAAATCTAATCTCTTAATGAAACTTACTCTTTGCTGAGCTCTCCTCAAACTCAGACATCTCAGTCATTGGGATGTTAGACCCAGCTGTGGAGAGAGGCTTAAGCCACGGTTTGTTGTTGAATAATTCATCGAGAATCTGAAATGAATACAAACGTCTATAAATTTTCGGTCTTAACAACAATATTTGGACTATATTTCCTAACAATTTCATAAAATAATATTGAGGAGACAAAAGCATTGCATATTACATCGTAATAGTCGCAGGATTTCCTGCTGTTCCCACTACAGGCGTTATGGTCTTTCACTCTCTTGTATGCTCGTTTTAATGTGTCCATCTTGGACCTGCATTTTGTGCTGGTCACAAAGTGTCCTTTCTGTCTCATGCCCTCGACGATTATAGCCCAAAATTTTTGATTTGGTAATGAGCCTTCATTTAGTTTGGGACTGTTTTCCTTGTATGAGGATAGTAACAACAACGTTTGGCTATCCTTCTAACGATTCTTTGGAGGCTTAGCTATATGAATAGACAATAATCATTGTATTGGTACATGGATGGAAAAAAAGTGGACGAGTTCTCAAACAAATGTCACTCGTTTCATAAAAATAATCTGGCCATTGTTATGAAAACAAATTTTTGAATGGCTAAATATGGAATTTAAGGAGATATTTATTCTTCTGCCACTGTAAACCATTCTATTAATGCAGAATTGACAAATTTTTCACTGTTGCTACGAGGTGTCCAGCCGGTCTGGGAGCCTGAAAAAATCATGGAATTCCAAACGTCACACGAAATTCCAGGAATTCGGGAAACTTTTTTATATGGACACCCTATAAATGATTAGAGTTTAGACCATAGCATGATGGATTGAAAAGAATCGAATAAGTCAGGATGCCTGAGAAAGTCAATTTCTTGATCTTTATTTATTTTTTGAGTGTAATCGCAAATCTTGCAGAGAAAATGAGAAATAAATTTCTCCATAAATTTTATTAATTTTTTTACACATGAGTTCAAGGTTCTAAATCCAAATATACTTGTTGTTTCTGTATTGCATTTTGTATTTATAAATAGTTTGAACAAAAGTGAGCATAAAATTTGAATTTTCTATAAACTTCTTGCATCACCCCAAATTATATAAAATGTTCCTGAATTTCCCTGAAATTACTGCGAAAATCGTCAAGAACCGCCTGAATTCACTTACAATTTCAATAAATTTTAGAATTTCCTCTAACTCTTAGAAATCTCTCGCTTTTCTCTGACTTGTCTACCACTTTCCCGCATTCTTTGGAATTTTTCATAACCTTCATCAATTTCTTTTCAAATTTTCAGAGTTCCCCACTATTTTGTTTTGAAAACTATTTTTTGTAGATATGAAAAAAATCCTATTCCTGTCTGAAAAAACTGGGAAAAGTCAGGAAAGTTGGAAACACCTTTTGGCTCTACAGCCCGTGATAGTACATGAATCAAGAGCCGACAAAATATTGAACAAATTATCCGTACCATTCTCTTCTGGGATCTCTGGTTCGCATTCATTCTCTAAGTCCTCCA